GCAGATCGCGGGACTAGCCGCCGCCGCTAAAGGTGTCTCCGCCCCTGCCCACCACGGCTTCGAACATTGGTCGTGATAGGAATAGGCTGAGAAGGAGGGGAGGGGGGGTCAGCAAGTGAATTCACAGACAGACACTCCCTAGCGTTCAGGTGAGCAGCTCTTGATCGGCTTACCGAAGGGCTGGTAAGGTGAGTATGGAGCTTGGTCAGCGTCCCGGCAGAGGGTAGAAGGGTAGAAGGGTAGAAGGGTAGAAGGGTAGAAGGGTAGAAGGGTAGAAGGGGTCCAAGACAATGCCAGCCGGCACAAAAAGATCGCCGCCGGGTAATTGTCTGTACCACTGGCGGGCTCCTCCCTCGCGCGGGTGCCACGCTCTTCTCCCTGCGCAGAGGACGGGAAAACAGGGCGGGGAGGGGACGACGGACACGACACGAACTGGGGGCCAAAGCGTACGTTGTAGCGTGGACTTGAGAAATGGACGCAGGAGCCCGTCATGGTATTGGAACAGGTTGGGACAGAGTGGGCCAGAGTGGGACACAGCGGGAATGGAACATCGAGGTCGGAATGATGTGCTGCAACACTGGGGCCTTGCTGCTAGCCTTTTCCTCTCTCTCTCTCTCTCTCTCTCTCTCTCTCTCTCTTCCGGCCCTGCCCAAGTAGAACGACTGCCGAGGGGCGTATTGTCCGTATGGACTATGGCGTACTCCAATACATGGCGATATAGCGAGGCGCCACGATCCCGTGCAATGACGGGCCTGGCGTAGCTTGGCGATGACGCACGACGTGGGAGCCGGGTTAGCCGGACGACCCCTGGCATTTGGACGTAGGCCGTGGGCCGCTGTAAAGGGTCACAAGAGGGATGCAGGATGTAAAACCTGCACGGCGATCATGACTGACGACTGGCGGCCGGGGTGGGGGGTGGAGCGGGAGTCATGTATGCCACTCTGTGGAGGATGTGGAGGAAGCTAGCAACTTGGTCAGCAAGGTGCGAGGCTGCATAGACATGACAGGAGCCTTACAGCAGACAAGTACCGAGACAGCAGAACGGCAGCATGCCTATCGGCGGCAGAGACCATGTCGTAATCAACAATGGACAGCAGCCAAGAGAAAGAAGAAAAAAAAGAGAAAAAGAAAAATGATAAAAAGAGAAGGGCGGAGGGGTGTTGTGTGTACTGCCGCCCTAAGATGTCTCGGATATGACACTCTGCGGCAGTCCATTGAAGTTCTGCGGTGAGAAGGGTTGGAGGGGGCCAAGGGGACCATCTGCGTGCCAATCATAGCCCTTCTCCCGCGGTATTTCTGGGTGGTGAATACTATTTTTTCTTTTCTTCTGATGTTTCTTTTCTTTTCCTGTTTGTCAAATTTTAGTTTATGACAGACATGGGTTGCAAGGAATGCGATTGTGATGGCCGAGTCGGGGCCAATTCGCGTCTCTTGTCTCTTGTCTCTTGTCTCTCTGTTCCAGAATCGACGGCCCCTGATCCTGGTCGGTCGTTAGCTGTCTAGCTGGAGCATCGTTATCCGCCTTCATTCTGCCACACTCACCTGCATGCGTTCCCGTCATGATACAGCACGGCGTAGATCCTATCGGTGCCCACTCAGTCTCGACATGAGGAGTTTCTGACACACCGAGAGGGGAGGATGCGCGTCGTCCCTTGGTGCTAACGATGTGGGACGGTGATAGTTGTCTTGTCTGGTGGCAGGAAGAGCAGACAGGACTCAGGAGCCATTCATGCTGCAAGGCTGGCTGGCGATGGTCTCAGCTTACGACCATGATTACTGAATCATTTGTCAGCTCGTCCGCTCGTCCACTTGTCTGCTTCTTCCCTCTGTCCCCTTCCCACTGACATCTGCCCATCCTCCCCTCGGGCAGAGAGAGACGCCTTTCTGGGCAACACCCAGGGAGTGGTGGAGTGGTGGAGTGTCTTTCCAGCAGGGAAATCAAGAAAAGGCAGAGAGAGATAGACAGAAAGAAAAGGGAAAGATTTGCATTCCTCAGCCTAATCCCACCGCAACGGCTCCACTGAAGAGTCTGCGACGCGGCTTGCACGTGCGAACCTGCCAGAGGCTTCACGTGGTCCTAGAGGTGGGTGGCAGTCATTCCTCAGGGCGGAGTGTCGAGTCAATTCTTCATCGGTAGTTCATTTCAGTTCAGCCCGGCTCAGTCAGGAGGAGGGCGGGCCCCCCC